GTTGGGCTGTTGTAAAATAGAAGAAAGTTAATAAGGTCAATTAAGATTATATCTACAACAGACAGAATAATAGGAGGTGGTCGTGGCGATGTTCATTCTTATTTTTAATTTTATGCCTGCACCTGCGAGCGGGCAAGATGAAGCACACAATGCTTTTCTGATTAATTCATAATTGCCCATTAGTCTCCAGCATGGCTTGCCTCTATCATCCAAGACATTAATATTATGAATAAAAGTATTGAATTCTTTAACTGCGTTGAGCCGTCCGTTGTTGTCTTTCAATGATTCAGGTAAAACAGATAAGGTAGACATTTGGTGCGAAGGCGATTCCTATTTTTTTCTAAGATTTCAATCACGTAGTTAATTGGTTATTCTTTAAGTGTTAAAAGCATCGGAAAAGGACTTAGTGTCCTCTAACCTTCTTTTCCTCTAAAGCAGACATCGGCACTTGCACAATACGGCTTCTTTAAGGGGACGTTGTCTTTATTGTACACACACCAGTAACAGCTGACTATTCCCTCGCACGTCTGAGAGCTGTTTCTTTCACTGCAGTGAGGATCAAAGCACTTGTCTAACGATAGTTTAGGGTCATGACACGTCTTTCCAGAGTGGAGTAGGCTGGGATTGTTTGTTTGTTGTGACTTAGGAGCTAGAGCTGGGCAGATCAGAAGACTGAAAGACAATGAGATGGCATCAAAGGCAAATGAACAGACGTAAAAACAAATCTATGCTACACAAAGTTTTGTTTAAGTGGCCCCTGTTAAAGTGATTGTACTGTTAGAAGAATTAATTGTAACTTTTACAAAATAATACGGTTGAGTCCATTTTGCATGCAATGTATGTATGTTGTTGTGTGTAATTTTTTGTTACATTTGAACTTAAATTATGTACTAATGCATTAGTGGCCTGCTGGGGAGTCAAAACTCACCTGCTGTTTGGGAACTGACTTTGGCAATATTCAAATTTGAGTGGAGAGGTACACGGACATTCACACTTTGTGGGTGGACGGAAACACTCGTTATTTGAAGAACAGGTACATGATTCAGCAGCACAAATTGAATCCCGCAAAGCGACTCCTGGGGAAAAATACGTCTCTTAAGTGGGTAACACTTTCCAGTCCTTTGGTACTTAGAACAATACAATTTGATTTGATCACTTTTTCCCTCGCTACCTCTGTCGCTTTACGGAGTCATGTTAAGATGGGAAACTACAAAAGACTCTTGCTGCCCTCCTTAAGGGCAAGTCTAAAAAAAAATAGCAATAGTCCTAGCTTCTGACTAGTTCTTCATCGCAGTTGGAAAAATACAAAAGTCCCAGTTGCAGGAGTCATTGCCCTCAAAGCCAATGTGTGTAGTAGACGAGATGGGGGTGTTGGTTCTAGTCCACATCATCATGGAATTTCTGGTACCAAAAATCGTGTTTTTTTTTAAGTGGTTTTCCATACAAACCCTTGTAAATTTGGACATTTTCAAACTGTTGTAAAATATTTCTTTGAGCATTATGGGGCTCAAATCTCTTTTTTATTCATTGGAAGCAATTTGAGCCCTTAAATGCGTTAGAGAAAGATTTAACGACAGTTAAAAAATGTCGAAATTTACAAGGATTTGTATAGGACACCACTCAGGCGTGACTGGGTGGCAAAAGCATGATTTTTCTCATACAAATCCTCCTTTTGAGATATATGACTGAAGATTCACAGGTTATTTACTTTTAATATGCTCTTTCACTTACTGCTAACAAAATTTTCCAAAAGCGATCTGTTTTCATGTTTACAGAAAATTCATCACGTGACTAACTATCGCAAAAGGCCTGTTCAAGTATATCTGGTAATTAGTTGACAGGTAGCCCAAGCTCGAAATATGAGCATCGGCGAACATCGGCATTGTTGCGTAACATTCAAAATATAAAGATTTGTAAAGGAAAAAAACCTATCGTTTCTGTAACCTACGAAAATGAAACAATTTCAATAAAAACATATTACCTTACTTAAAATGTGTGTTCCAAATTCCGCCTAGGTAACGCACGATAGTTCTCCTTTCTATTCGTTATCTTGCTTCAAGACGCCTTTGCGCCGAGAGGGAATCAAAGGTCGTCTACCTCTGTAACCTTTCCCGTTTGAGGCCATCGACAGAACCTTGGTTCGAACTCCGCGTTACCGTTGAAAGATAGCGACACGGCCTGAGACTCAAATTACCCACACTCGGGGTGGGAGACAGTCCCTTGCTTCCGTTGACATCAATACCCAAGAAAGAAAACAACGGGAGTAAGAGACTGTCTCCCACCCCGAGTGTGTAGACTGCGAGCAGTCTCTCGTTTTCTTCAGATTTAGTGAGAGCAATGCACGCGCGCGGGAGCGGCGAAGCCGCGAGACGCGCGAAACGAGGGCGGCAGCCTCTCCCGTCTCGCGCCATCAGTCACGCGCGTGGCCATTTGCGTGTCTCGCGTTTTGCTCGACGGACTACAGAAAAAAGAGAGACTGCTCGTAGTCTACCGAGTGTGAGTAATTTGAGTCTCAGGCTGTGTCGTTATCTTTCAACGGTAACGCGAAGTTCAAACCAAGGTTCTGTCGATGGCTTTAGACAGGAAAGGTTGCAAAGATAGACGACCTTTGATTCGCTCTCGGTGCAAAGGCATCTTCAAGAAAAATAACGAATGGAAAGCAGAACTATCGCGTGTTATCTAGTCGGAATTGGGAGGCGACTGAAGCCGTTAGAGCGAATTTACGGCCGTTCTCCTTCGGTGGATCCGTCGGGCCGCTTCGCTGGAGTCTCCAACCTTAATCGGCCCGTGGACCACACAGGAGAGACGTAACACACATTTTAAGTAAGGTAAGCTGTTTTTTTATTGAAATCCTTTCAAATTCGTAGGTTACAGAAACGATAGGTTTTTTTCCCATACAAATCCTTATATTTTGAATGTTACGCAACAATGCCGATGTTCGCCGATGCTCATATTTCGAGCTTGGGCTACTTGTGATTAGCTCTGAAAAAACGTGTAGTACCTTATCTCCTAGACTTGCCACAAGTCGATCTCTCATATGGTTTTTAGCGAGCAAAGCGAGCTTCAACGAGGTCAAGCAGCAACCGAACGCGCGACGAGGTCGCAAGGACGAACAGAAAAAAAAAATTAAGGACTTTTAAGAAAGTCTACTTGTCCCCTTGGGATTTGCTATTTTTCTGACTGGTTTGAAAGCTAGACCGAGATATTCCAGTCACCGTCTGAGTGCAAGCACCACTGTCATACACAGACTACAAAATCACTTACAAACCTAAGTAAGCATTAGTTCCAACAATTTTGTTGAGTTGGTATTTACTGCAGCTGTCTCCATTCTTTAGAACGTCAACTCCTCCATATGGCAAATCAACCTCATAAAAACTCTGCTTCTGGATTTCTTTAAGATTGCGGCATTCCCGTTTTTTCAAGTAGCCATTTGTAATGAGATGTTCCGCAATATTCTTTTCTTTATTAGTAATATGAACATATTCCAAGTCTTGGGCAATTTCGGAATGTTCAAGGAAGTCCTCGTGCATGATAAGGAATCCAGCGCTGTCCATAACGAAGCAAGAATAGAATTTTCGTTCTCTGCACTTTGGATATACTTTAGTGAGCAATCTAAAAAGGCAAATGTTTAGTTGATAGCAGCGGAAAATCACAAACATCCAAAATGCTGAGGCAAATAATAATTAACTAAACCATTAAACTGCCTGAAGATTTCATAAAAATTGATACATATAAATATTTATCTAATAACGACCAAATAATAGGACGTCTAATTTTTTATTTTTTTTTGTCTGTGTCCAGCCAAACAAATTAAGACCAAGAAATGTGTCATAAGAATGTAATATTATTTCGCTTTCAGTTTTTAGTGAAATAAAACATTTCTTAAATTATTTCATTATTTGTAATCAGTTTTTGGTCCAACAGCATGACAAAAATGGACATTCCCTAAATCCAATGAGCTTGTGTAAGCTTGGACTAACCTGTAGAAATAGGCCAATGAAAAATCAGCTCCCATAACCCCAAGAACCTCGTCATTTGTGTGATGATGGTGACTTGACTCCCCGCTGTATAGGGAGCGGGCGACAGTTATAATCACTCCAGCGCCTCTGCCATTAGGTTGGCCAGCGTCCAAATATGGGGTCGTGAGAGTGAGAAGGCCAGTGTTACCCAAAGCCGAATAATACCTAAGTGAACCAAATCATGAATAACAAAAATTTTAATCTTGGTTTAAATTTAATTTTTACCATTACCACATCCAAAAACTAAAGAAAATAACAATTAGGCCAAGGATAGACGGCATATACACCTAAAATATTTTTTGTTAATCATCAGCACCCATAAAATAGTTTGGGACAGAATCAGCATTGCAACTTCCATAGGATGTGGTGACGTACATGTATAACTGACAGCACATGCCTCTCATCAAAATAGCCTGGCTTCGAATCTCAAAGGTTGTTGAGTTTGTTGCTGGTTCTCGCTTTCGTCCTTGCCCCTTCGACGTCTTTCGTTTCCCTCTGTATTCCTCTCTCCTTCCTCTAAACTAACGTATTGCATGTATCGTTATTTATTTATTATTATTGTCCTTGCGTCTTGTTCAATCACGTGGATTCTCGTTAGTCTGAAATGGAATGCCTGGAAGATTGACCGATGATTTCGCAATTAAAGTGAACTTTATGTGAGATGCTTTTTTCTTTTTCTTTCTTTCTCTGCACTATTATGAAAACTCAGTAGCAGTGAAATAAAAGTCCTTTCGAAAGGTTTAAACTTCGTAATCGCTGCCAACAATATCCCGACAGATTGTCGATTGTAAGTGCCATAAAAGCCCTGCGTCAAAACATAGAGCAGTTAGGATGCGATATCTTTGAGACCAGGTCCTTTTTTTCCAATTCTTAGCACTCTAAGTTCAGTTTTAGTAGAGATGAAATACCCAAGCGCCCAATTAAGGACATTTCATTCCTTCTTCTGACAAATTGAAAGCCTTTGTTGTTTTGGCCAAGCATGAGTGTGTCTCAGAACGCCAGAAACTGCCAACTCCACATAAGAACACTTGCACTCCTACAGTTCTCAACCTGAAAGGTCACCTGCACGAGAGGAGACTGAAAGCCACATTAAATGAAGGACAACATAATCCAGGGATATCTGCCAAGAATAAAGAGATTCCCTACTTTAGACGCCACCGGCGGTTCTACAGAACTCCTAAAACCATGAAGATGCTTGCCGTCGTCTCCGGGGAGACGATTTAAATAGAGATCTATTAGCTCTCCCTAGGATCACCCACCGTTTCTGAACCTGTGGGTGGGGCAAGGTGACCAAAAAAATAAACACCTCCAACACTGAACCTCGTGGACATGACTAGAAAGAGTACACTCGATAATGGCGATATCTAGACGTCATATGATATCGCCGCCCAGTTAACCAGTGACACCCAAGCAAAAAAATTACCCTTTTTGATCACTTTGATTATATGGTATTGTTGATATGGCTGGTCGTGGATGTATGAAACTGTAAAGTCAAGTGATAGTTGTTATCCAATGGAGTGCCAGGTTTTACACTTGCTCGCGATCTTGTATAGGAGTTTTCAGTCAAGTGACTTAATTGGATTAAACTATCGTTTGTTTATGTTTAAAAGAACCGTTTTGCTGCTATACAAAGCCACAACGTTACTGTTACAAGCAGTGCAATCGAGTCAATGAACAAACCTAAAGTATGGCTAGGGTTTCCCCGAAGTACCCAATATTAGTGGAAATCTTCAATGGAAAAGTCTTAAAGCAAGGATAGATAAACCGGAGTTGTGAACAAGACAAGTAAAAGATGATTTTCTATCACATCAATGAAAAGCATGCCAGCATCAGCTTCACCATCGAGCAGGGAAAAAAAAAACAACCACTGGAAGTCGTAATGAATCCCGCACGATCAACAACTTTTGTCAAGAGAACTGTGCACATTCAGGCACTACTAATCAGTTTTCCTCACGCCAACCTGGGCAAGAAAACTGGATATCGTTAAAACACTAAACCATCAGCAGAGGATGATAAAAAGGTGGAAAAGGACACCTGCAAAACGCAGTGTTAGCGTCGTCTGCCCTAAACTAGTCCTGGTTCAGATCGGGGCGACTTAATAACAGCCTGGGCTGAGTCAACATAAGCTCCAGTGAGGACTGCGGTCACACAAATTGGCCTATTATAGACAACATCAACAATTTTCCAACTGTACCTCGAAAAATAAACGAAAAAAGCAAGCTTCATAAAGTACAACTGAACCGCAAGGGTGGAATATCTCCGACGTTACCTCCCTCCGCGGGAGGCAGGCAGATTACTGACTATTATATGATGAGTCTTATTGAGATCTTGGCCCCGTGATTCTGTCTATTCTAACTGGAGACGGAATGATAGCCTTTCGAAAATTTGGATGATAAAACAGTATCAAGCGGCCTATCTGATGTTACATATAGAGCCTGATTCAAGAGGTGAAGAGGAGAGTTCTCACTTACCAGGGTCTTTGTCTGGGATCGTAACTTTTCTGAAATACAGCACCAGGAATCTGTCTGAAAACCCCATCTGCTGTTCCAATATATCTCCACACCAAATATTGCGTCAGCTCAGTCTTTTCGCGCGACCAAATCTCTTC